ACCGATGCAGTGTTAGTTTTGGTTAGTTTTGGTTAGTTTTTGTGAAACTGGCCCTTTTGAAAATTGCCCATAGCTTTTTTATTTATAAAAATTTTGGAAGACTTGCAATTAATTCTTGGAAAGAGTATTTATTATCAGCAAGAGGGTTACCCACGGATTGTCAGTGAACTTTTAAATGAAGAGTTTGGACAACGTTGGATTTTAGATTCCTTTTTATGGGGTTGGATTAAAAGGTCTTATATTAAAAGACAGAATTTTCCAAACCAAAGCACAGTTAGACGAAGCCAGTCGAGAAGCGTTTGGTTCATAAATCCTATACAGTTGACAAAGGTGCGTTTAGTGTATTGAAGAGGGCGGCGCCCAATTTAAACATTTACGTTAAAATATTTCAATATAATTAATTTAAAAGGTTAATTTTAAATAATATTTAATATTTATTGTGTTTTGCTTATTAGGTTAAAATAATTATAATTTTTCTTGTAAATAATCAAAAATATTGAAATTAAATATTCAAATAATATCTAAAATGAAAATTAAAATATTAAATGTTTCTTAGGTTTCCTGTTTTTCACTTGAGTTAGTGTTTATTAAATTAGTTTATTTTTTATTATTTATTATTTTTGAAAATATTATGCACGGCATATTAATATATAAACAAAAAACGCCCCATATTTGTGCCTTTTTACATCACAGATAGCAAAAAATCTATATGGCTGAAAAGGGCTCGACACGCCTATTTTTTTAAGATCGTAGCCAACTATGACTACCATATAAAGTAGTATAAAGTAATATAAAGTAAGAGTATTCATTTATGAGAAAATAGAGAACTGTAAAATAACTAAGTATGCGCACCCAACTTATTGTTTATTATAATGCGGTAGGACTATTTAATCCAATTTCCATTTTCCATTTGCCTTTAAAAAATGCCCTAATAATGTTTTTATTCTAATCGAAAATTTTCGTAAATAAAAAAATTGTTGGCAATTTTCAAAATGTACGAAAATTCAAAAACGGCTTATATCTCGATTGGTAGTGAAGATATCACCATGCGGTTTTAACCGTTAAATGTTTCTCAAAAATCGAGACCTTGACATATATCTAGTTCAAAAATAGGTTTTTCCTGTTAAAATTACCAGTACACTAAATTTAATGCAATTTAATACAATAGTATAAGAATAGATGAAATAGTACCAGAATATTCTTAAAACTCAAACCCATAATTAAGGTCAGAGTTATAACCATTTCTAATGACCTTTGTTTGTCTATGTTTAATAATCTACTCCAAACAAAGTTTAAAAAAATAGATGTCGGATGGTTATATTTAAGGTTATGCTATGTCAAAAATATTGGTTTGTCAACAACAATGTTATAAATAATACCAAGAAAAAGATACAATCGATATAATGAACAATCAAAGCTGATAATTTCAAATATACCCATAAAAATGAAATTAAAACTCTACGCACTGAATGTTGCTATCATATTATCAAGGTAATACCGTATAAATAAAATGTCACTGTCAATTAGCAACCTGGAAATCGTTTTTGGCAACCAGCATGACATCATTACAAATAGGTATAATTCCGACTATATGTAATTAAACCAAGTTTTATTTATTCAATCAACAACTCTATTATTAATTAACCTATTATGTTTCAAACTTATAATGAATTAAGGTTTTAAACATTAAAAGGGGGTTTTTAACTAGAGATGTACTGAACTGAAGAAGAATCAGTCATATTAAATTTTATTATATTAAAAAACCTCTATTGAATTAGGAACAAATTAATCTGAAACATTTCCGGCAGTTTAGTCACGGGATTTTGGCTATTGTATTTTGACGTTTGTCCGTTCTGACGGTCACATCCAACGTCACTCACAGTATCACCAATTCATAAATTTAAAGGCTTAGCTTTATTTTAGATTATTCACCTGTTCATAATAATTAACTTGTAATTAGATGTCTAATTAAATATGGAAGATATTCGCGAGAAAGAAAGAAAGGCGGGAAACCCATGTGACTCAGAGGCAAAAATGACACAACAGCTTCTTCATGTCCAAAATGTAAATACTTGTCACAATTACACGATTTAAGTCTAAGCTTAAACTAAAGCGCTTTTGATGCGAAGTAATTGTAAAAAAGAATAGGATAACGCTTGAATTGATAATTATTTGTAATAAATTAAAAATACCAAGCATATTAAAACCAAGCTAATATTAAATAAAAAAGACTTCTATCCTGAAAAAAATCAAAACTTTATTTTGATACGCTGTCTGCCAATGGATATTATATTTCATTGTTTATGTAATAATAAATTCTCAGAGTAAATCAAATTCTGCCTTGCAACGATATTAAGTCATTAAATAGAATTCGGCGCTTCAAACATTTGTCGTCGGAGAGATAATCTGTGGGCACACGAGGTCGACACTCAGCATGGAAATGAGCTAATAAGTATTGTCAATGAGCCTAACCGACTATTATTTGAGACTCGAAGAACTTGTTAATTAGTTTTATGGCGTGACAAAAGTGCCTAATAAGCGAGTATGTTTACGAGATTATAACTTAAAAGCGCCAGAGAACCCAATTATTATGAAGCCGTTAACTTTAACAGGTTTTCTGCAGTCATTGAAGAAAACTGGTGTTTTTCATCCGTATATCTGAGAAATTGAAATTAATGAGGTAATAAGTCAATAAAAAAAAAAATAGATATTGTCACCAAGCAAACCATTCTCATATTTCAATTTCAGGAATGGTTCCAAACGCTTGAAAATTTTAATTTTTGTACCAGGTGCAAAAAATACTTGGACACATTTAATTATTTAATTATTAGTCAATGTAAAATTTATATTGTTGAATTATTATTTTTAAATTTATTTCTATCGAATTGTTGTGTAGGTATTACCCATATATAATAACCATTATAACATTTGAATTTGTTCCTGTTTTTGATATAAATTAAATGTTTATTATAGTTTAAACAGTGTCATAGTATTCTTGATTTCGCAGATCCCTTTGCGGAATAGCTTTACTCTGTACACTGTCAATCCTATGTAGAAATAATGATAATGATAGTCAAATTGATATAAGAGTATTTAATTATCTGTTATCTACCTCCTCTATCAGGAGAGTTTTTAAATCATTCATAATGCCGAAAAAAGTATTTATTAATTTCCTTTTCCATGGGCCAATCATCACACTGACTTAAAAAGCTATACCGATGCTTACGCAAAAATTTCTGGAAGGAAAATTTATTATTTTAACTTTTTAGTAATGAAAACTTTTATAATTTCTAACTATTAATGAAAAAACTACTGCTTATTAAGCAGTTTACATTGTTTTAATATGCAAGTAATTTGCTGTTAAGTGAATTTTTCATGTTCTTAGCTAGTTCCCTCAACTATTCTTCGATTGCTTTGGTAAATACGAGGTTAGCGCCAAAATTTCCCGGCCTAACATAGATGCAGCTCTAGTATTACGATAAAACTTTGTCTTCTTTTAAATATACATCTTAGTAGGCTGCGAAAAAAAATTGAAGTCTTGCGTCAAATAGTTTTTTATTGACAGCATTTTAAACAAGACGTGTTCGAAAAAATGTCGCAAATAACGCAAATTGAGTATAGAGCAATCATAAAGTTTTTGACAAAAGAAGGGTTTGCACCTAAAATTATTAAAGAAAGGTGGTGTGTACGGCCAAAGTTCTCCTTCGTATTCTGTAGTGAAAGAATGGGCAAAACGTTTTCGAATGGGGCAGGAGTTCCTTGAAGATGATTCAAGAACTGGTCCATCAGTGGAGGTCATAACGGAAGATATTGTTGCAATTGTTGAAGAGGTGAGTGAAGAAGAAGAGGCTGAATGATCGACGCTTAAAGGTCAAAAGGAAATCTCAGAAATTACTAAGCTTTTTGATACAAGTGTTCGTCGAATAATGCATGATTATTTAGGTATGCATAAGGTTAATGCAAGATGAGTTCTTTTTTGGAATTCTGTGAGTCGGAACCGAAGCCTGTGAGAGAAACTATTGTGACGGGAGATGAAACTGTGGTTCTCTATTATGACCTTCTATCGAAAAAAGAATCAATGGAGTGGCGTCGTAAGGGTGAAGTACCTCCAAGAAAATTCAGACTCTGCCAGTCAACAAAAAAGGTGATGGCCACGACCTTTTCGGATTATGAAGGCATTCTTTTGACAGATTTTAAAGAAACTAATACCACTGTCAATGGTAAATATTACGCAACATTATTACAAAAATTGGGAGACTGCATACGTGTAAAACGTCGACGAAAACTGACCAGAGGCGTTCGTCTTTTGCACGATAATGCACCTGTCCATACTGCTGGTGTTCCACAAGCTGCCGTTTTAGAGTGTGGGTTCCAACAGATAGATCATCCTCCCTATAGTCCAGATATGGCCCCCAGCGAATATTATTTGTTTGGATATTTGAAAGAGGACTTACGTGGACGTCGGTTTAAGGACGAAGTTGAGTTAAAAGCGGCTGTTTTAGTTCATTTTGCAGACAAACCAAAAGAATATTTTTTTAAAGGGATTGAGTTGTTAGTAAAAAAGTGTATTGAAGTTAATTGTAACCCTACTTTGTTTCTTTCGTATTCAGGCAGGCAAATTTTGGCGCTGCCCACGTATTTTACATAAATATTGAGTTTACCTTATTTAAAATAATGTTAACCAAAAAAATATTTAAATCTCCCTACAGTTTTGGTTGCGTTCAAAATTTGCAACAATAATCGGCTATTGCTTATGCACCCTTTCCAACGTATCGCAGACAATATTGCCCCATAATTCCCCCAAGAAACAATTTACGATGCACTTATGTAGGATTCAAAATGCACTCCTCATTTGATCGGAATTTGCGCGAAAACATTCAAGTGTATTCTAGGACGTGCTGCGCGAGGAGCGTTTTTAAAACGTTTGTCAAGAGTTCGAAAATTATTACACTTATTGTTGTTGCTTTACGCTTCGCGGGTTATATTGGGTTATTATTTATTGAAGCTCGTAATGGGTTGCAGTTATACTGTTACTGGTATGGGAAAATCTTCTCAAAAAATATATTTTACCTGCCGCTGCTTAGAATAACTGAAAATATATTGCTGTATATATGTAAAACTAATAAATATACGAATGTCTGCTAGCAATTTGAAACCCCGGCAGAAAGGACAATGTCTTCGCGCAGGGCAAGTTATGGCGGGCTACGCTGCAAGCACAAAGACCAGCGCCAATCAGCGCTCCGTATACGAAAAGACTAACCATCATCAGCAGCACCATAATCCACTTAAGCAATGACCATCTATTTTCCCATAATCGGTACCTTAAACTCTTTTTCCTAAAAATTCGATAGCGTATATCGTTTTTTCAAAACACTTTACTTTACTTTTGGCATCTACTGTACGCTTCGCAAAATTGTCTTTCGGCTAATTCCATCTGGTTTCTAATCAGCTTGATGATAGGGCATTTTAGATGCTTGATTTGGGCAATATCTTGTTGCTTCGTTTGAGGGTTGTGCAGTCTGAATGCGCTCGTCTCTGTCGGGATCATCAAATGGTATGCTCTTAAATTTGGTCACATCCGATTGACTGACGTATACGTTGACTAAATGTGTCATGCCACAATGATAATCACCATGAGATAGGTAACCAATTTTAATTCACATTATTCATTACTTCTTCAAATAATGTAAATTTGATAGTACGAATCTTTTACTCCTCCCTAGATAGCTGTGACAATGAACTGAACTGCAAAATAGGGATATACTTAATTAAAAATAAAATTTTCACCTATTAATATGCTTATGACACGAGCGCTTTTTTCGTAAAAAACTTGACACATTTCAAAGACAACTAAGATGCCTAGTCATTTAGCTAAAGGAAATGGTATTTGCTGGCAGCTTTTACTACAAAATTTCAATTTTGAAAATGTCAAAATATCTACTCGCTCTCCAACCTCACTGACAAAAATCTATGCGTGTTTTATTTTATGTTCATCAACCGTTAGTTCTTAAAAGTCGTGCTACTATATTTAACATGGGGGTTGACATTGAAGTATTACTTGAGGGACTTCTAAAACAAATATTTCTTGTAATTTCTTGAGGTCTACGGGCCTAAACGAGCGGCTAAACATCTTAAAAGTTTTTCTCTCCGGATGTTGGTTCAAATTGTTCTAACAGATTTTTTTTTGGTGAAGTGTGAAGTGTATTTTATCTTTAATGTGGAAATTATTAAAGGGAAGAGCAGACGTAAAGTGTTTTAATTCTGATTTTCTATTGATAAGAATATCTAAAAATGGAAGGTTATCATTAGTTTCCAATTCAATGGTAAAACGTATATTAAGGTGTATAGAGTTTAAACGTCTAAGAAAATCTACTAGGGTTTCTTGACCATGAGGCCAAATAAAAGTATTATCGACGTAGCGTTTCCATAATTTTGGTGTTAGATGAAAGGTGCCGAGAGCTTCCTTCTCAAAGGCTTCCATAAATATATTCGCGATGACTGGTGATAGTGGAGAACACATAGCTGTTCCCGACGTTGGTTCAAAAATTTCACCGTTATAAGTACAATATGTTCCAAATAAGCATTTTTCGATTAAGGTGAGAAGGTTTGGTTCCAGATTCTCGGATTTTAATACATCTAAAATGATGTTGCGAGTTTCAGGAATAGGAACTTCAATGATGAAATGAAATTTTACGTCGAAACTAACTAGAATATCTTATGTATCTAATGTAATGCTTTTTAATTGTTCAATGAAGTGAAAGGAATTAAGTACGAAACTATCAGTTTTCCCTGTAAGGCGTTTTAATAAGGAAGCTAGATATTTTGCTAGAGAATATGTTGGAGAATGTTGCTGCTGACAATCCTGGTTTGTGGATCCTTGGGAGTCCGTAGAAACGAGGAATTTTAGAGTCATGGCGGGTCACAGATTTTTTCACGGAGTCTGATAGAGCCTGAATAACAGATTGAAGGTTGCGATCCGTAGATGACGTACGATCTTGACGATAAGATCCGTCAGTAGCCATGAGGCCGAAAGCAACCCTACACTTGCCACAGTAGTCCTTCCTTACATTCAGAACATCACTGACCACATATCAAAAGTTCTAAAGAAGTACAACGTCAAAACCCAATTTACCACTTGTCCAAAAATTTCTCAACATCTCCGATCCGACAAAGACAAAATTCCATTTGAGATGCCAGGAGTTTACAGCTTTCCAGGAATATGCGGCAAAGAATACATTGGGGAGACCGGACGAAAAATATCAACTAGGCTCAAAGAACACGAAAGAGCCTTACGACTAAGACAAATAAACTCATCAGCAGGTGCCGAACACAATCACGAAACCGGTCATAAAATTTTATTCGATAAAACTAAAATTCTTGAATGTAATCAAATCTTCTACCAACGAAACATCCGAGAGTCTATAGAAATCAAACAATCCTAACCGCGACTCCAGGTCTTTACCTGTCACCAATATGGGAATCAGTCATCTGAGACGGTATTTATGCCCCTCTCAAAGCTGTGAAGAAGCGAACAGGATGAATGGCGAAACGTCAGCAAGTTCGACTCAGCAAAAACCAATGCAGGAGGAATCCAGAAGTTTTGCATAAAATTATTACAGTAGCCTGTGGAAGTTTCTTTGAAAAAACTAACGGAATGCATTATTTTCTAGGTTACGGCCGCATGTACATGTTGGTCAAAATTTTTTCCATACCACAAAAATTATATAACTGTATCGGTAACAAATGTCCACCCAAATATTGTTCATGAAAATTGAGCTCCAGGCACTGACATCTATTTTCGTCTATATATTTTAGTGAGGAAAATTTCCCTTTAAAAGTGTCTAATTTGATCTACAACTTATATAGATTCCACACTTAATATGTTGTTTGGATTTACGCTCATGATCGCACTTTCTTAAACCTAATGTATACAAAAATTTTGGAGTCTTTGTATTCTAATTTTGCTGTCCACATAGAGACAGAACCCGTAAACATGTAATTAAAATGTGACAATACTAAAGTTTCACGCAAAGTTCTCCTTAGTTTGAAATTTAAAATATGTCGGTTGCTGTAAAGCATTTTTGCTTAAACCTGAAATTCTGATCGATTACTATTCCCAAGTTTTCTGTCTCATTGCCTACAGATATTTCAACATTGCTTTTAATAAAATTCACTTTATTCTTGCTTCCAAAAAGTTTCAAATTGTGTTTTTTACAAAAATCACTTAGTATTTGTCCTCATTAATAATTAAAAGTTAATAATCGCATCAAAAGAAAAATAAATTTGAGCATCATCACCGAATGCGTGTATGTTACAGTATCGCAGTGTCTTGAGAATATCCGACGTATAAACGAGAAGGGTCCTAAGATAGAACCTTGTGGAATCCAAGAAACCTATTGTCTAAATAGTAACTTTTAAAAAGGAAAGCTGCATTTTCCAAACCATAATTTTTAATTTATATTTTCATATAAAATGCCTTTGAATAATCTAACAGAATAACGATTTATTTAATAAAAAATCATTATTCTGTTAGATTATTCAAAGGAACTTGATATGAAAATCTAAATTAAAAATTATGGTTTTGAAAATGCAGTACGACGCAGGAGAAATCTAGATTTCTAAATTATAGAATAAGGATAGTGTTCATCTTCTTATCAAAAGCATGCAGAATGTCGTCAGTGACATTCCTAAGGGCAATAGATATCCCAAAATTCTTTCGAAAACCGTATTAAGTTTTTGGTATAATTAAGTTATCAATGAAATATACATTTGGTTATATAAAAATCTTCAAAATATTTTAGGTAAAGCTCGTAATATACTCATAACGTAAAGATATTTAAAAGATGCCGTGCTTCAATTTTTCGGAAGTGATTCCCCAATTGAAATTTTCCATTGATCTTTAAAATCTTCTAAATCTTTAAAAGATCGTTAGTGTATAAAACAAATAAACGTGACCCAAGAATACTGCCCTAGGGTACACCTAGGCCTCTACCACAAATTCTCATTTTCTGAAATCCATCACACTGATAGTCCAGCCTGGTGCATCACCTTGTACACCATGATTGGTCAATTTTTTGAAGAGAATACCCCTCTCTATTTAAGTTCCACAGTGGTGGCACTATTTCACTCCTCTTCATGTTCTCCCTCCAATTCGTACAATCATACTGCAACGCCGACTCACAAGAATGTGGACTTCTAAATCCAGATTGGGCAATGAATATCAATTGATTTGTTTCAAAGTAATTTTTCATATGGTCTCAAACCAATCCGATGGAGCTTTTGGTGTATTTACTTTGGCTATAGGTAATATAGACTTCGTTAAGTCTTTGCGTTAACTGCCTGCTTTTTGGGCATAACTTTTTCTATAGAAAGAATCAGATCTATTTCTTAAACTCTCTGCTTACTAGATGTACTCGTATATCTAATAATTGTGTTTTTATGAACAAGGAAGTTACGGACTTATTCAAAATAAGCCAAAATTTGTTTAAAAGACACGTATACAAAAATTTTTAACATTTCTTTAATTATTGTCTATTACCTTAGGAAGGATCTACTTAAGTTTCTTAACTTAATTTTGCGCTATCCTGTAATTGAACAGTCTGTTGTTTGGCCTTTGGGCTTATAAAACAAAATAAAGTATCCACCTTTAAATATAATGTCATAGTTTCGGCTAATAAAAACTAAGCAAGAGTAGGGAAGGCGTTCCAAGTTACATTCGATTAAACAAAGTTATCGTTGATAGAATACGATGTATTCAGTAGACGCTCGATATGATATGGTAATTCGTCCCGTATTATGATCGCGTTAATTGATATGTCCGAGCTGTCAAAATGTTACGGAACCATCCTTATTTACGCGTCCGTTTGACATGCTAACAACATCTTCGCAAAAAACGACATAATTAACTCTCGCAAAATACTAAATACGACACTGAAAACATCAAGCGCAAATAGGCCATGCGTTGGAATGATTACGATTTTTTTATTTGTCTCTTCGGCTGTAATTTCCCGGGGCTAAGTCATTCATTACACGTTTTGTGGCTCGTGTACCAGTTCGAGCAAGTGACTTGATTTTACGGTTAAAACAAGAAGTGGACGAGGAAAAAGCAGAGTTGCGGGCATTATAGGGTCGAGACCAACAACGTGACATTCAAAAGAAACGCTACAAGTCATTGATAAGATGCCTACCAACATGTAATCAACATAAAAAATTATAGCGGGTGCAATGGTGCGAAAAAATGACTACCAAAACCAAAAATGTGGGTGTCCCAGGGATTTCTGTTTAAAGAACAATCTAATTTGTACAGTTTATTAGCAACGGACTCATGTGAACACCATCTGCTAATGATACCGTCGTATTAGTGCCAATGCAATACGCTGAAATTTAGAATAGATAGAATATTCTTGAATGTGGAAAAGGGCTCTACTAAACTGACCAACATATATTAAGAAACGTTTCGCAGATGAAATCGAATGCTTTCCGCAGATTTTAACCACGGATGGTATTTTGATATATGTGAATGTATTCACTCTGTTTCGCAAAAATGTACCTAAAAACTAATAGTCGTAGTATGTAACACTTTGCAGTCAATCGTTTATTAAACACTTGTTCCGCTCATGCCAAATCAAACTCCCGGTTAAAATGGCGATTAACAAACTTTCTTCATAATATACTATTACATAATATTTCACTATAAAAAAGAACATT